TGCAGTTAGTTACACGAATTCAAATACGAAGCTTTAATAAGTTGTACTTACGCACAATCTACTTGCAATTTTGAGCTTTAAGTAATATGCATTAATAAACAGTACTTTACGCATAAAAAGTGGTTTTTAAGAGTTTTTGCCAAATGCTTTATAATATAGTATATATATATATATATATGTATATATATATATATATAGAGAGAGAGAGAGAGAGAGAGAAGCGATCAAATGCAAACCATCCAATTTGTACAAACCGCGCAAACCACCTTCATCCGTCGATTTCATTGTTTAATCTTATGAAATTTTTTCATGAAATTGTTTAATCTTGTGAAATTGTTTCATATAATACTTTTTTTTTTGATGAAGTTATTTCATATATGGTTATGAAATTRTTTCATATAATATTTAATGAAATTTTAATGAAACTGTTTCATTTATTTTTCTAAAATTAAAATAATGAAGTTGATAATAACCATGATTAACACCATCCACAATAAAAATGATTAATCAATCTCTCATAATTACAAAAAAATGAACAAAACAAAAAATAATGATTTGGTTGAATGAGGTTTGCACGGTTTCTACAAATTAAGTGGTTTGTATTTGATCGCTCCTCTCTCTCTCTATCTCTCTCTCTCTCTCTCTCTCTATATATATATATATATATTCAAATTTCGTAATCGGGTTTCAGAATTTTAATCTCGAGTGCACTTGCATGCAAGTATATTCATACTAAAATAAATACGATATCATAAAAACATTTATATGGATATTGTTAACATCCTTAAAATTCAAATTTAAAGCCTGCTAATGTATACACAAAACTTTTTAAAATCCCAAGTTTGAAATTCATGAAACTAACACGTAACCAACTGATCATCACGACTTCATAAAACTCGTAACCAACTGATCAACACGACTTCATAAAACTCGTAACCAACTAAATAGTCTCTCGTTCTCATAAAACCGTAAAATGAAAAAATAAAATTGAAAGGGACATAGAAGCGAACAAACCTAAACTAGGATTCAGAATTTAAGTTCTCGACTTCATAATTGAAACTTCGTTTCTTAATCTTCATCAAAGGTTTGGCTCAAAGGACGATGAGATGTTTGTTTAAAAACTCATTGGTCTCAGGTTCTAGTCAGGGTCCCCCTCATGCGCCTTGTTATCAGGTGAGTCTTAGATATAGTCCACTCACACTAGATTGCTTGAGGGTTGAGTGCCATATCAGACCGGGTGATGTTACAGGTAATTAATCTTTTGTTCAAAAATATTCACAGAACAGTAAAATAAATGTATTTAGTGATACTTTTTGATGAAATTTTGTTTCTGAATAATATTTTTAATAGGTGGTTAAAATGATATTTAATTTATCACTATTTTTATTATATTAAGGAGGGGACAAAAAAAAATTTTGAAAGACAAAAAGGAAGGACAAGGAAGAGAGATTCGGCATGACCATTACTCTCACCAAGCCAACCAATATATTAAAAAGAGAAGATCCAGCAAGGGGACTAATTTTACCCTTATATATTGCTAAATGTACCTCGATCTAGTATTTTTCCTTCTCACATACAACATCAAAACTCATTTTTTATATTCTTAATGCATGAATTGACCTTATTTTGACATTAAAAGGGTGCAAATAGCAATCTTCTTTAAACTCATGCATTAAAAATGTAAAAAATAAGCTTTGATATTGATGTGTGTGAGAAAAAAAAGTACTAGATACAAATGCATTTAGCAATATATATGGATGTAATTGGTCTCCCATATAAAATAAAAAGATTATCATTTGAGTCTTTAAACTAAAGAAAAGTCCAAAAAAACCGCACAAATTTCTTTATTTTGAATAGTTTAGTCCATAAACTATTTTTTTGAATGCAAAAACATTGAACTTTCTCATTTTGAATGATTAAGTTCTTGAACTATTTTTTTAATGAAAAAAATCATTAAACTTTCACACTTTCAATAATTAAGACCCTAATTTTTTTTTAAAATAAAATGACCATCGAACTTTTACTAGTTAGTTAATATAACTTTTTTGATTTTAAATAATACAGGTAACCAATTTTTAAAAATATAATATTTTATTTATTTAAAAAATATTTAAGGACTTATTTAATTAAAATAAAAAAAATTAAATTTTTGTTTACAAAAAGTTTAATAATTTTTTTATTTTAAAAACTTAATAAATTAAAAATAAAAAATTTAACGATTTTCTCGTTAAAAAATTGTTTTAAGTAATAAACTATAGGAAAATTCAAATGTGGAATCTTTTAAGGGTCAAGCCCATTTCCGTTTCTGTCCTTATAGATCCTGTAGCCAGTGTCAATACTACTCCAGTAAATCGAATCGATATCCAGACCCATTTTGGTAATTTCAGTTTCAACTCCTATCCACACTTTTTCAACTCTTTCTCTCTCACACACAAACACACAGTGACGACAACGTTTAAGCAGCAGGCCCCCTTCCTTTCTCTTTCTCTCAAAAAAGCCTGCCATTTTCCCAACAACTACTTCCCCAAATTCACAAACTTGCCCCCTTTCTTTCAAGATTCCGTCAACTAACCGTCAAAGATCCCCGGCCAACCTCCATTTTTGCCGGCGACGATGTTCTCCGGCCATTATTTTTCTATCTAAACTTGATATTGCTTGGAGATATGTAGGGAACAAGTGTACATTGAAACAAATATATATACATATAGATACGTATACTTACAAAAAATACATATAGATATACGTACAGAACAGAGAGAGTGAGTGAGTGAGTGATGGATTTGGTTGAAGGAGTCGGTGAGAGTTCTTCGCCGCCTCGGAGTTTTGGAAGTTTTAGCGGAAGTGAAATAGTGAATGATGTGTATAATCGGTTAGTGGAGAATGGCAACGAAGAGGCTATTAATCATCCTGAATTTCGGGATCAGTTGGAAGCTCACTTCAATCGTTTTCCTGCTAGGTATATATGAACACATATAGTACAAGTGTGTTAAGAAATCGCATTAATTTCTAGAGATATTCATTTTCCTACTCGCTCGCATGTTTCTGTTATTTCTGTATGTGTTTCTGAAGCATGCAGTTTATTTTGTTTCGGAGAAGGGGTTGCTAGCGCTTTGTTTTTGGGTGATATATATCAAATTTGTTAATCAATTGTCTATATTACGTTAATGGGGAGTGTGCGTTTGTATTCAGATTCATCACTTTTGATGTTTGGAGTTGAATTTCAATCTATTATTGCTGATGCATTGATTAAGAATGTGAAAGGTCTGTGTTAAGCTAGTGTTAAATTGTAGTTACTTAACGTATTTTCTATGTTTACAAACTTATACTGTTGCATATCAGTTTAGGAAGTAGTTTAGACAATAGAGGATGGAGTTCGGTACATAAATGCAAAAGGAATGCAGTTCTTTACTTTTGGTGGTTGCATTTCAGCATTCAATCTATTTATGCATCGGTATCCATGTTTCAAACTGTTGGTTAACTTTGAGATTGTTTTTCTACGCACGGTGTGGAAATAATGAGTCGGTTTAAAGTATTCTATACAATTCGTCACTTGTATTTATTTAAGATTTAGATGCATGTTGGGGTTATGTGTACTAGATTACTTAAAATAGTTGTTACACTTCCATAAAAAGTATGGTTCATAGGAAACTTCTCATCTGTCATCATGCTTCAAACTGTGTTGTTTCTTACACTCTTGATGCATCAGTTATGCACTTGATATCAGCTTGGAAAGAGTTGAAGATGTGCTATTGCATCAAAAGCTTCTTGTTTTGGCCAAGGATCCTGAGAATAGACCTGTTTTTCATGTTCGTCTTTTGGAGGTAATGGTTTGAAGTTTCAAGTTACGCATTGCCAATTATACACAGATTGTTAGCAAACTTGATATCTCTCATTTGTCTTATAAAAAATAAAAATGCACTAATTTAGCAGCTCCTGTAAGTGCTATTGAGTGTTTATGCAATTGGATTAATTGACATTGCTTGGGGATGTCCAACATAACTCTTGATTTGTTTTTTGTGTTGGTTTTCTTATTCTTATGAACTTATGAAATTTTATTTGTACTTGATTAACTTATGGTTAGACTTAAAAGACCTATCATATGATTCAAATATACCGCAAATTGGAAAGCTTAATGCTCTCAACTTTTTGGTTATGAAGGCTAGCCACATGTATGTAGATCAAGAATACTGTAGTTTTTGTCATTGGTATTTGGTAGTACCAAATTTCTCTTTGCCCAAACTCATCAGATGTTAAATGGCAATGGTCCACACTCTTGGAAAGAATCAAATTGTCGAACTGAATTGGTGTGGGAACTGTCCCCTCCAATTCAAGCATGGTATCTTGAATCCTTGATTTATTTTCACCTCTATATGAATGGATATTCATTATAACACATGCAAAAACGGCTCTTGCACGGGGAATATTGCTATGTTTGGATAATAATGGTCAAGTATTATTGCTTTCACCTTTCACCTTTCACCTTTCACCAACTACTGTTTCTTGATAAACGATGGACCCTGAAAGCCTCTGGAATGCATGATGGAACATCGGATCTTGTGAGCTCGTGTTGAAAAGAGATTATGGAACCTTGTAAAGTAATGTGAAATTTTAGTCCATGGTGAACACAATCAACGTTTTCAACACTAGTGGTAGTGCATTATCATCCTCCTAGGTCTAGAAATGGTAATTTGGTCGTCCATGACATAGTTTAGCAGAAAGAGAGGAGACATCCTGACAATCTTAGTAACAAAGTAGCACAAACGTTATACATAGATTTGTTGGGATAAATATAGGACGACAAGAAAAACTCGAATATGGGAGACTAGTAAGGAAGAGTGTTACTTTCTTATTAATGATATGAAGATGCATGGCTGGTTGGAAGTGGAAGTATGATAATGGAGAAAGATACACAAGAAGGTGGATATGTTCAGTAGGATGTTTTTATCTGTTTATTTATATGTAGAGTTCACGACATCTATGTATTGGTGGTGCAGAAATTGAAGGCTGGAAATTTTTGTATATTGAAAGCCTAAATTGACCACAACAAGGAAACACAATCAAAGGAATCCTAGAGCATAATAAAAACTCTTAACTAAGGAAAAAATATAGAATCTCTAGGAAATATTGTACAAATAAAATGAGATTTCAACAGGTGGAGATTAATTTGGAATTTGAGCTGTATGATTGCTTTTGGTTTTCTTCATTTTGCTTCTCCTGTCTAGATGTGGTTGATCCTCTTGACTTTTTTGAGCCACCTGGTGACAGGTGACATGTGACATTCAAACTCACATCAAAATAAGGTCTTTCTTCCTGATTTTATTAGAAACTATGTGGTGGAGTCACTCCTGTGTCGAGAAATGTGGTGGTTTGAGAGAGGTGTGAGGCTTATCCTGACCAATATAATCTAAGAAAAAACTTGAAAAAATATTGTTGGTGATATTATAGCTTCATGCTTATAGAAGATGAGAGGATTGTAAAACCTACGAGTTTGGGATTAGAGATTCTGTTATATTAGACAGGAATCAAGTGGAATTTTAGGTATTCTCTGAGTGCTATGGCTTGTGAGGTACATCTTTTCTGTTGTCTCGTTTCTATATGGATGGTTGGTTACTGTTTGGATCCTATCTATATACACAGTGGGAAGTAGTGTTTGTGTACCTAGATCTGCTACATAGATTTATTGGCTTTAGAGTGCTCAGGAAGAGTATGTCTGGAGATATTATATTTGGTATACATTGTAGCTGTTACTGAATCAGGCACTTATATAACTAATGATTTCTTAAAAGAAAGCTTGTTACTTGGAGATATAGACAAGTATAGTTTTTTGAGAAGTAACAAATATTGTTGCTGTATACATATTTGGATATTCATCAACCAGAACTGTTAATTTGACCGACAGGGAGATAGAGACTACAGAGGGCTAATATTTACGCTCCCTAGCTACAACATTGCACATGGTGCATTTAGTTGCAGGCTTGCAGCTGGTTTACATCCATATTCTCTATTGATCTAATGATCCATTTGCTACAATATGAAAAGCTCATGGGTCAGTGCTGGAGAATGTAATATAAGACTTCCTCGGAACTCGAAAGATCATGGTCCTTGATTTTACTTATGCTAGAAAAAAAATGTGAAGACCTCCAAAATCTAGGTCCTGCTGCAGTTTTCGGTGGATAAAAAGGCAATGATGCAATCCTATCCCACTTGAAATCTGAACATTTCCCGCTCAGTGCTCTCCCATTTGCTGTTACATGTCATGATTTGGGTAAACTTACAAATCAAGTTTATTGATCATAAGATATTATTTTAGTTTCCACTTTTACCAGTATGGGTATCGTGAATCGAATCAGAAGAGAAGTACTCAGCTCTTAGTTAATTTGACTCTAAAATGGTATCCAAGTATATGCTTAATGGATTTAGATGAAAAAGTGTAATTTGACTTAAAAATGGTATCCAAATATGTGCTTAAAGGATTTTGATGAAAAAGTGTAATTTGACTTTAAAATGGTATCCGGTGTATGTTTCATGGATCTTAAATGACAAGGTATAGAAATATGATTGAAAAAGCTGAAACCACAAAACACTGATGTTGTACAAATCTAGAATCACATTCTAAAACAATGAAAAGGTTTATTATGATGAATAATATCAAGTAGAACACACTATGTCTTGGTGTATTAAGTGGCAATACATATTTAAAACGTGCAATTCCGTGAAGAGGATAATTCTTGTTACAGAAATAGACTAAAAGCAAGGGAACATGTTGTCAAAGAAGGAAGATAGTATGAAAGATCACTAACAGTTTTGCCACTATTTTGCCTTAGGCTTCTGTTCTTACATGCCTCGAAAGAATTACCACTTTCAAAGTTTAGCACACAGTATCACAACATCCAGAAAGCAGAAATGGGTGGTATATTTGGTGCTTGGGTAGGAAATTTTTTTAGGAGAACATCAACTTCGGGTGTCATATATACATACATACATACATATACATATATATATATATACACACACAAATATGTTATTGTCTATATTTATTTAACATCATATGAATATAAGAACAAATAGACATACATACATATTCATATAAATGATATTAAATAAAAATAGACAAATAACTTAACAAAGAAAAAGCATAGGAGGGCTTAAATACACATACAAGAATAATCCATCGAAGTACTTCTAGTATACTTATTATAACCAAAAAAAGGAACATTGGACATAAATAATACTAGCAATTGCGACCAAATTATATAACTTTGTAAATCACCATCACCACCATCATCAACAAAAGTATGTCTTATCATGTGAAAAGTGGAAATAGATAGGAAATAGGCACATTGGACGAGTATTAGGTGCATATCACACCCAGATATAGGTAAGACATCCTAACTCATATGGGTGCTTCCTAGCACAATCTAGGAATACATTGAAACTTCTTTGAGTTCCTTGCAAAGAAAAGCCATGCTCAGCATAGTGCGGCTTCACAATCTATCTGAAAGACCTTGTACATAAGAGCCAAGGTACTTGAAGTGAGATGCTACATGCTAATAGGTGAAATATTGTACTTGGTGAGAATATTTGCATCAGACACATGGAATACTGTAAGTTCAATCAGGCATGAGCATGATGAAGTAGAAAAATATAACAATCCCGTTAACAAACATAATTTTGCCTTCGATATTCAGTGTTACAACCAAAGATAAGGGTCACTTGGTTTACATAGAAAGGTTAGGAATATTACCAAAATACTATTTCTTCAACTAAGCTTCATGGTTTTATCATGAATCAAGATTCTAAGCATGTCACTTTTTGAAATACAGCTACATAATTACATTCTACTAGTTGGCAAGATCTATTTTGAGAGGATTTCTTTATCACTCTGCAGAAGTCCATATTTAGTATCCTGCCTGAGATCTAACTTTTGTTTATCTTATGTACTGTAGACTGAATATTGTTCATGTGTGTGCATGTGTATTTCTTTGCTTTTATGCTTTTTCTATTATCATCATTTCTATGCTTGGTCCTACAATTGTGCTTTGCAGAACTTTTGGACTAGAGCAGATGTTGATGATGGTGACCAACAAGGATTATTGGAAGTACTTGCACCATCACATGCCAGGTATATTAGCAATGACAGAATTAATGTTTATGTGTTTCTGCTATTCCATCCTCTCTTTCAAATGCGGAATGGTATCGTGTCATTCCTGCCTGATATTGGCTGTTTCTCGTTGTGCTGTCTCTGTCTTTCATAGCGGTGCTGCTATTATTTTTCTGTTACTTACTTCACTTGTTCTCCAAAGTGATAGGAATCAAGAGGTTGGTTTTGAACCTTGCTCTAAACTCGAGGACCTAAATTTGGAGGTCAGAAGAAATTCTGTCGATAAGGAGAGAGTGAACCTTGAAGGAGAATCTTCCAGAAGGTACTGTGTAGAAGATGTTTTCTGTGTCCATTCTCTTCCTGTTCACCATTTATCTATCTTTAAACAAAGGGGATTGCTAGATGCCTGGTAGTACAGTCCATTTCTACGTTCATATTTGCTCTGAAATTCCCTGCATCATATTTCTTATCATGCATGACTACAATATCTTTGCTTCATCAGATTTCAAGCTAAGCTACTAATGGATGCTTGTATAAGCATTTGTTTTTTGTCACTTCCCATTAATGCTCGTCTCAAGGGCTGCTGTGGCTATTTTTGTTGATGGAGCCCGTCTCACTTGTTAAGAAGCAGCAGTTTATCCAATTTGATATATTTATGTTCTGATAGTCATGAAGAAGATACTTCTCGTGGCACCTTGCTTTCAGCTTCTAATCATAGACCATGGTTTTTCCCCTCAGCAAAATAAAAGTTGCCCAAGCTCATATAACTCTCTGGTGGGTTTTTTAGTGGGTGTTATTGTGGTATAGTTCATATTTAACATGGATGTGAGCAAAGAATACTTATCATTGATGGATTACTGGTTGTAACTAAATCTTTTGCTCTTATTCATATGTATCAACCCTAAAAATTGTTGTTTCATTTGTAATGGCACATGGAAGTATATTCATGTCTCCTCATAGTAGGTTGAGATGAAGGCATGATTAAGTTGTTGTGACTGATCACTGTATTGTTGCCAGCTCTCTTGGTCATACATGACACTTTCTGATGTGTCAGGACTCGTTGAAATTTAAGAAGAAATGGGGATAAAAGGCTTGTTGATGTTGTTGTTCAGGTAAAAAAGCCGTCTTGGCTCTTAAAGAATCGTGGAAAATTACGCAATAGATGGCCCTGGTTTAGTAAGTTCTACAGAAAGCATATAATATTTTTCTTTGCTTTTTTAGCATCAGTGATATATTATTGCATGACGTTTAGACTTTAGATTCAACATAATGGGCTCCTGTTATGAACTAATCTTGCACAACGGTGTTACTCTAGATATAGGTAGTTGTTCCAGCAGTATGCATTTTGAGTCCGCTAGAGTAAATGAAACCTTTTGGAATTTTATCCATATATCCTGTACAGCAAAAGGTTGTTTTGATGCTCTTTTATACATCATCAATGCAGTTTACCCCAAGAAGTTTACAACTTATTTTCGAAACTCCAACGTAGTGGAACCTCCCCTTCCGTTTCTTTGATGATACTTTTATCCCTCAATTTTGTTCCAGCCCATGGTTTCATATTGCTGAACCTTTCTCATAGCCGTATGCATGCCAGGCTCCCCAAAGTGATAAATATTGATTCAAGTAACTAGTGTGTTTGTTCTAACTGAAATATTTAACCTGTCTCTCCAACTAGCATATGTGACTACAGCGCTTTAATCTTATCTACCAACATATGTGTTTCTTTTTTCTTTTTTGTTCTTGTTAGATTATAGATGTTTCTTCATATGAGGAATAACTTACCATGTCCTGAGTATCTGCAGAGTGGATGTTCCAGATGTGCCAATTCATGAAGTGATATTTTCTGCTATTGACAAGCCTAAGCTCCTCAGTCAGGTAGGTATCTGGGTGGACGATATTGTTTTTTTGTTAGCTTTTGTCACTGCATTGTTATTTCCGTAAATCAGCATTTTATGTCTTTGCTTGATCAAATTTCTGGAATTTATCATGAGTCATGCTGTTATTTTCCATGGTTTTAGTTGTTTGGCATTTGATTCATTTCTGCCTTGGACGTTGAATTGCTGATGAAAAGGGTGTCCTACTCAATTCAAAGTTGGCTTTTTTTTATTCCCAAATATCTTGAAATAACCAAGACAAATGTCTTTACCGTTGAGGTCTCTCTAGAAGAGTCTGAAGAACATCTAGTTAATTAAATGTTTCCGTTATTAATGTTGTGCCTGTTTTGGTATTGGACATGTTTATCCATATTAAATCGCAGTCATTGTTTCTGTTTGATGAGGACATGGTCTGTATCCCTATTATTCTTTCTCTAACTATGAGTTTGAGGGTTATGGGAGGAGACCTACACGAAGGTAATAATAACATGCTGTTATATCGATAACTCCAGCTGTCATCAGATAATGGTGTTTGTGCCAATGTTAATAATTATTCTTGGTATTTTGCAGTAATTTATTTTGATATTAATTGCATTGTAGGCATCGCATTAAAAATCCTTTTCTTGCAATATCTTAGATCATGATCCTGACCAGTCTTTTCCTCTCCTAGCTTTCAGCTTTGCTTTCTGACATAGAACTCAACATCCGTGAAGCACATGTGTTTTCAACTACAGATGGCTATTCTTTAGATGTATTTGTGGTGGATGGATGGCCTTTTCAGGTACTTCTAGTTCTTTTGTGGCATCATGATACTAATAATGACGTGTTTTTGAATTCTTTATTCTTTTGATTATCACTTCTTACTTGCCATGGGTCTGTCTGATTTGGTGCCATATTCATATTGATATTATGTCTTGTTGCAAGCAATAAGGGAGCAACAAGCTATGGATGTGAAATATGTACTCGCCTAGCCCCCTCTCAACACTAGGACAATTCGTGCTCGTCTAGGCTTAGCCAAAGGAGGAGTGTTAGAGTCCCACATCGGCCAGACTTGGACTCTTTCTCTTTAACATATGTTGGAACCCCCCTTTTCTCTTCAAGGGCTCTATTGGAGAGTAATCTAAGAGCATCTCCAATGCAAGCTTTTTTCTGAAATCTTTTTACTATTACATAAAGCCATTGAGATTAGTTTATGCATTGGAGTAAAGACTTGACGGAAAGCTTTTTCATCAAAAGCTTGTAATCCACCAAGTCTTTTATCAAGTCATTTAATTTTCGTTAATAGATATTGTTATTTGTCCGGTCGTACCCAAACAATAAGATTCCTGAGGAAAATGCACCTAAGATCAAATATTTCGAGATATTGCCCCACAATCATATTTTCTCTTTTAGTTTTTCTCATTTTAGTTTAATTAATCTAATATATTAAATATTCGAACTAAAAGTAAACATTTTTATAACAAAATACATCATTAAAAAGCCCTCTTTGAGACGATTAAAATGACCACCAATATTGAATAGTAAAAAACAGAGATGAAATATCATATAATATTTATATTATTTTTTGCAAAGTACGCAAGACATACAAATGAAAAACTAGCGTATCATAAAATATTTATGGTGAAAATTAAGAGAACGCCAGGATTTAAGTTTATACCTATTTTGTTAAATACCATGTATTGTAATGCTTTTAAATATTTGAATTTTAATTTGAAGTAAATTATGTTTGTTGAAAAATATGATGTGAGCTTAAAAAGGACAAATTAAATGAATGAGGAGTCTTTGTAAAACATGTCAAATAAATGAGGATAGATTAAAAATGTTATATCATGAAAAAGCTTTCAGAAAGCTTTCTGGAGAAAGTTTGTAAGATGGGTTTTTGTTAATAAAAGTTGGTAGAAAGCTGATGTGGCAAAAGTAAAAAGTCTTATAAAGACTTGAGCATTGCAGATACTCAAGGGGTTCCACATATTCTCGCAGTTTGATTTGCCAACTTTCACATGTCCTAGGAAAATGTCTTGGAACAGGAGCATATCTCATCCTTTCTATGACAACTGTCTATGCTGAGCTCCAATGTTTCTGATTTGGCAATGTTTTTGGGTAATTGTTGTTGCCAGGAAACAGTGGCTTTGCATGAAGCGATGGAGAAAGCAATTTCTAGAAGTGAGGTACTTCATATTGCAATGATTTTCAGCATATAGTTGTACTTTAACTGTTTTTCTTGTAACTGCTCTATGTGCTTATTGTGATCAACAATGATTTTCACCAGATAGGGTTTTCAGTATTCAATTTGTTCATCACTTAAACTCAAAATTATTTATTCAAATGCTACTATAAATCCGCAAACTTAATACCATCATGTTAGGAATTCAATACCGAACAAAACCATATAAACCTTTCGAGGAAAGGTCGATAAACATATCCCCGCTGGAGCTTCCCGTTCGTCTATTGATCTCTTGGCCTAAAATTAAATGTTTACTGAAGCTGTTTGATTCCTATGGTTCAAGTTCAGTGAGGATATTAATTATACATAATAGATGACTTCATCCTTATGCATATCAAAGTTTGATTTGAAGCCATGTATCACTTCAGAAGATCACATATCATCCTTTTTTATTATTATACAATTTACAAAACAGGTCCCTGAAGTTTGGGACCTGTTTCACTAATTTCAAATAAGTTTATGGAATTTACACTTTGTTTTTATTACCCTTTGACTATATACTTTGTTTTTTATTATTAGGTATTTTCTACATTTTGGGGTGTTACAAATCCTTCCCACCTTATAAAAATTTTGTCCTTGGAATTTTTCTTTACTTAAAAATCATTCAGTATTCTTAGTTTAATGTCTACTTTTATAGCTCAAAGCGACACTTTTGTTGATACATCTGCCAAAATCTTGGTAATTACGACACATGAAAAGTGGCATAGTTGTCTAAAATTCATCTAATAGCCACAATGTAAAAATCTACTTTTTGATTCTTTCTATAACCTTTAATGATCCGTCGCAATGAGTTTTTATCATGTTCTATTCACCATCAAATATATAAAAGATGTTTTAATGATCAAACCAACATCTCTTGTCATTGGGTATTTTCTACAACATGTCTTGTTTTAGATGGCACTTCGTTTTTGTATTATTTGGTATTTTCTACATTTCGAGATGTTACAAACAAACATTGATATCTCATGCACATTTGCAAGAACATTCTTTGCTAGACACAAACAAGTAGCACCTGGCGCATTCAAATCCAAATCATCCCATTCGTCATAGTTCCTACTGAACCTACTTGAATTACTGCTAGAAGTAGGTTTCCCCCTCAATGCCTTGTATAACCCAGATTGTATCAACACATCCTTAACTTGAATTTGCCACAAGCCAAAGTTGATCATTCATCAAATTTCTCTACATCGAACCTCATAGCGCTTGAGCACTTTGACATTGTGCCCACAAGCCTCTAACTGAGGCCTCCTCCAAGCTGGAGCACTCTGATACCACTTGATGGAAGATATGGTGAAAAATTGGTCTCAATGTCTCCCAACAACCTGAACAATGAACAATAATAGATAAAAAACAACACAACTTAACATGGAAAACTCCAAAACCGAAGAAAACCACAGGAGTCCAGAGAGAAAACCACGAGAAAACCACCATTAGTTGTTACAATCACATAATTCAATTTCTCAAGCCTCCCGCAATTATAACCACACTCAGAGATTTAACTCACCTTTCTACACTCTAAAACAAGATAACAAGAAAAGAAGAATAAAGTACTTGTAAGTGTATTTTATTTGGTTGCTTTGAGACCAAAGCCTTGGACCCCTTGTATAGGCATGGAGTCCCTCCCCCTTTCGTTGCTCCACCAATATGGACAACTTTCCAAGCCTTTACTTTATTTTAGCCAAACAGTTCTCAACACTAATTTCCATGGGAATCTTGAATTTGAAGCTGTGCTTGACTGGTTGTATGAGGTCGACAAATATTTTGAAATCATGGATAACCCAGAAGAACAGTAGGTTAGATTGTGGCATACAAGCTTCATGGAAGAGCCAGTGCATGGTGGGAACATGTCCAGGATCAAGCAGTGGCAGGACAGCAACAAGAGCAGGACAGTTTGATGCCTGGGTCATGAAACAGCAGTGAGATCAAGGGTCATTTGAGATGGTCCTATCAAGTTGCAATCAAGGCGGTGCATGGGTAGAATGGGCCTGGATGTTGTTCTTTCTCAAAGATAAGATCTTCAATATCAAGAGCCTTGGTTTTGGTACCTTGTGTAAAGGGGTAATTTTTTGAGAGGTGTAATATTTCATCAGATGAACCATCATATATGGAGTACAAATGGGCCTTGGACCTGAGATAATGTATACATTAAATAGTAAGGCACACTAGAACGATGTAAGTGTTGAAAATGGCAACTGAACCTTGTATTTGTTTCACATTATCAATTTTTTGTAAATTATTTATTCACCTCTGAATTAGAAGTGGTAATTATTGGACCCTAATCTATTATAGTAGTAATGTTTTCATGCCCAATATTGTTATACTTGAACTTATTTGCCATTATTAGAGTGCAGAATGCTTGCCCTTTTAGTATTTAATAGGACTGACCTTCATGTTGAGAATTGACTCCACGTTCTGCTGATTCAGGAAACAAGCAATAATATCCCGATCTAGCTTTTCCATACTCTAAAGATCTTCTCAACCATTTATTGTAGAACCCCAATTACATACTATATCTTCCTAAAGTTATTTTTGTGAAACTTCCCAACCTTTCAACATATTTGCTTATTGGTATCTTTATTACTTCTTTTTGGTATTTTCTTCAAATATTTCTGTTTTACTTCTGTATTGCTATCAGGAGTCGAGTTGACATTCATTGTTTATACCTGGTCGTCTCCTTGTATTTTTGAGGCTCTATAAGTCAGAAGTTAGCAGACAGGAATTTGCTGTCTGAAATTTTTGATGTCATTGAAACTTCCCTTTCTGTTACTTTTTGAGAACATGGATCCTTTATGGTATTTTAACTATTTTGATGTATATATTTTCTAGTGCTCTCTACCTTGTAGGGTTCATGGTCTGGTTCTTCACATTCTATGTCAGCTGTAGAGAAAGCATTAGCCACTCCAGCCGATTTTGTAGATGCAGAAATTGATAGAAGATTATTGAAGATCGGGGAAAGACTTGCATCTGGATCTTGTGGAGATTTGTATGTGGATACAGTTTTCATATTGCTGCTAGTTGTCATTACGTTTCTGTCAGTATCTTGAAATAGCTCTCTATTATTATGTTCTTGGAAAGATATCGTGGAGAGTACCTTGGTCAGGAAGTTGCTGTCAAGATACTTAGATCTGAACATCTAAATGAATCATTGGAGGATGAATTTGCTCATGAAGTAGCGATGCTCAGGTAACTACACCATCCTCATAATTTTTCTACACAGGTAATGCTTAACAGCTTTGAAAGGGGCTGTTTGTATTTTGATTGCTCACGAGTCTTCAACTTTTGTCAAAATTCAGTTTTTAGAACCATTTTTGACTTTGAATGAACCTTCTTCAATTCCCATAATCCCCCACTTTCACCACACACACACTCTTTTGCACTATCATGCACATCTCTCCTGGGGAGTTATTGGATGGAAATATATTGTGTTTTTGTTCCATAATTAGACTAATTTCTCATAAAGAAAAATGATAAGAGTATGGGAAATTCGGCTTATAGAAATAAGACACGAACGATTCATTGAAAATGTGAGCATTAGGAAATCTGCCTTCATGTCCCCATGACCATCTGCTGGTGGCCTCAGTATCTTGATATGATGGTTTTGGATCTCCTGTCTTTGCTTTTCTTGCTTTTCGGGTCTTTCGGCACCTGCCAGTTGGAGGTTTTGTAAATGACTTGCAGATGGTATCTAATTGCCATCAGGTGGCATTGGAATTCCATCATCACGCTATCTATGTGATATTGGATGAGTGGTTGTCCTGATGTGGACAGCAACACTGGTATTTTATCAGTAGGTGTTGTAGTTTTGGCTGGAAATCTTTTGTAGTTTGGATGCGTTTTCGCCTGTTAGTTAGTCCTCTGTTTTATGTTGCAACTTGCAACTATAATTTTTCGTCATTTATTTGTTGGCTATATTTCTGTCTTATTTTAGTTCTTCCTTGGTTATTGAATGGCATTCATATTTGATGGCCTTTCCTTAAAAACAACTTTTGTGATTAATCTGAGGACCTAGAAGTTTTACTGTTATAAAGTTCGTTTAAATGGATGTATGTGTTAAAAATCTACTGTAGCATGGTAGTGCTTCTGGTTCTTAGAAGTGACTAGCAGCTGCATATCCATAGTATGTTTCTTGCTTTTGTGTCTGTATCTTCAAAAAAGTTTGTTGTTGGTGTGGTTAGTCAAGATGGCTATCCTAGTCACCTGCATATTTGGTTGTTTTCTTGTTCTTTGCTGAATGTTGTTGGGTAAAATTTGTAAATCTTCTCCTCTTAGGCAGCCAAGTCCTATCCCCTGTTTGATCAACTAATGAGTTTTCTTTAGTAGGGTATTATCCATACTGGAATATTATACTTCTTTATGGTTTATTTAACTTTTAGGTGTTCTTGTTATATTTCTTTGTTGATTTTGTGAGTCTAATTTTTGGGTTTGGGGATGCTTTTTATGGTTTGGATATTAGTAGTTTTGAGTTACAATGAACTTGTGCATTATCATCTTGCTGAGTGCTAAGAAAAGAAAAACAGAAGGGAAAAAAAATACCATCATTATACCATCAAAATGTTATGAATTGCATTGATTCAGACAATAGATCAAAGAAGGATTGCAATTGTCATATATGAAGATGTGTTTCACCAGTGAAATGAAATGGGTTCTGGCTTTCAGGAGGCTAGTCTCTCCCAACAAAACAGTAGCTAATATGCCTTCCTCCCTATCACTGGTCCCTATTTATAACATGGCATGACAACTTTATTAAGACAAATCCTACTAATAAACTAACTCCCCAAGTCATTGAATTAACCCTTTTATTCTCATCTAGAATACCTTAAACATATTGTTGGGCTTGGGCTTGGGCTTGGGCTTGCATTACCACTGTTGGGCTTATGGGAGAGTGCATTACAGAGAGTCACCACATGCACTGTACGTAGATATATATATATATATATGATTTTATACACATTACCTAACCTCGTAACTAAACCAAAATGGTGAATTTGGTGGTAACTATGATGATTGCAATATATTTAGAGGAAGTGTCTTGGGAATAGATGTGTTAAAACTGAGGCCACGTATCACACTACATCAATTATAATTGACCTAATCTGCAAAATACAGTTATATTATGCATGTTCTGTAATTAGATAGGATGTCCACACAGCATGTGAATCTGTTCTGATATTTAACAGTTCAAACATGGATATATCACTTGTCATAATAACCATTATGTGTGTGTCTTGTCAGGGAGGTCCAGCATAGCAATATTGTTCGTTTTGTTGGTGCGTGCACAAAGCAACCTCCTTTGTGCATAATAACAGGTAGAAAACTTCATGAATTCTTTCACTTCCATTGGACATTCATTTGGATTGTTCGATTAGTTAGTTGCAGTTACTTAACTTTAGCTAATCCTTGATACAGTCTAGTATTGAATATTTCTGTTGCAATAGTATACTATATTGGCAAAAGTGATTATGTTTATGGGTCATGCTTCTTATCGGCCACATTTTCTCATAGCGTTGTCTTTATGTTTTTTCTTATTGAGCGTTATTAATTTTTCTTGTTTCATATTGAGCCTATTAATTGAACATAACCTTTTCATTTAGCTTTAATGAGGGTTCTTTATGTGTGATTGTGGGTTTTCTGTTGGCTCCATAGATAATATGAAAAAATTACTTGTCACATAGAGTGTAAGTAGTCTGACTGTCTGAGCAGCCTAATGTAGATACATGATGAGATTAACTGGTTGGAGGGCACGTAACATGTAAAAGATGTTGAATATATGATTAATTTCTTTGTGCTTCAAGTATAACTTATGGTGATCTATTGAATTCGTTTGATTGCTAAAAAAAATAATTGCCTTTCTTCAAAATGTATTCACCAAACATGAGTGTAGAAGACTTAAAGGCTGTTGGTGTGATGTATAGTAGATATAACCATCTAATTATTAACTAATTAAAGAGAAAATAATTTGGTGTCAGATTTAAGGTTCACCTAGTATCTTCTTGATATTGTTGTTCTTTATTCTTTGCTCTTCTTAACGAAATAGATTATGCTAACAGGAGTATTTCCAGTTCTGCTGTTCATAAATCTTTTTGTTGTCAAGCATCATGAGTATTTCTTTCACCTTATATACATATTTAATTGTTCATTTGGAAACTTAATTAGGGATTTCAAGAACTGAGAAGTAGCAGGCTTCTTCATCGACTAGAATTGCCAAAGTAGACAACTAGTTCACATGACACGATTTCTGCTTAAACTGCAAATTTTCTTGCAATATCTAGAAACAACATGAAATTTAGACAAGGCTAAAGATTCTCCAGGGAATATGTAGAATTAGTTTGTTAAAAGGTGTGCCTTATCTGCAAAATTTGCTCAGTCGCCAATATTTGATGGATTATTCAGCAGAATCTATTAATCATTGTGTTTCTTTTGTACATTGTGTTACTTTCTGCTCATGTCTCTTTCACACACACAAAAACACGATTAGTTTGTAATTTTAGCTTATGCTGTTTGTCCTATATCTGCACAATAAGCAAATGTCTCAGCTAGTGGAATTAGTATAAAAGATACATATTTGCCTGCCTGAGCTCACTTTATGAGGACATGATTGCTTCTTGTACTGCTTGCAGAATACATGCCTGGAGGAAGCCTTTATGAGTATTTGCATAAGAACCACAACGTCTTGAAGCTTCCCCAGTTACTGAAGTTTGCTATAGATGTCTGCAAAGGAATGGATTACTTGCACAAGAGCAACATAATACATAGGGATCTGAAGACTGCAAATTTGCTTATGGACAGTCAAAATGTAAGTCTTCTAATTTAGAACTTATAATTTAATTCTTAGAAACTAATATATTACTATCTAAAAGCATTGTCATGTAGTGAGAAAAAATTGGGAGGAGAGAGGATTGATCAGGGAAAAAACCCACTACTTATATACAATATTAATATGTTTCTACGATCCACTATCTATGTGGGATATATTCCATTCTAACACACACTTCTCCACACTCCCCCGCAAGCAGGTGAATAGAGGTATTCACCATTCCCAGGTTGGATACAAAATCATGAAATAATGAACCACTTAATCCTTTGGTGAGTAAGTCTGCAAGTTGGCGATGTGTATAGACAGAAGGAACACAGAACAGTCCAATGTCCAACTTCTCTCTTGATGACCTCTGTCAATCTCAATTTTGCTTCATTCGATACGTTGCACTGGGTTGTGAGCTATGCTTTTTGTAGCCTTGATATGACAATAGAGTTTCATAGGGCCATCACACTTAATGTTTTAATCCTCTAGAAGAATCCTCAACCATAGAAGTTCGCGCACACCTTGATTGAGCCATTTGTTTTCCACTCCTCCATGTCACCAAATTTCCACCAAGAAAGATACAAATAAACAGAGGTTGATTTTCTGTCAACAACTAATTCACCATGGTCAGCACTGTGTATGCCTCCTATGCCAACCCTCCATTTCTTTTGAAAAAGATGCCTTTGTCCGGTGTTTGTTGTCCATCTCATACATTGCAAAACTTTGTATACGACCCACAAATACACTTCCTTTGGGTTCTACTACTTATGCAATGCCTGACCGAGTGGGAGAGATAAATCATATTAGACCATGATGTGGAACTTACCTTTCAGTTTCAGTTGGACATATCAATCAAAGACTCTCAAAACTTGGTCTCAGTTTCAAGCACCGTGCTTTTATCTTATGGCTAGCATCATGGTGAATTGCTCCATTTTAAATTTAAAATTAATCTCAAATAATGAAGTATATCCTTCTTAGCAGTTTCTCCCCCGAATAAACCTACATCATTAACTTCTCTATCAGCATCATCAAAGCTGTACTTCATCACGCTGCCTTGTTTGATTTAATCTAAAACCCCAGTTCAAAGTGCACTGCTGCACCACCAACTTTGCATCACACCTTTTCTAGTCTAGTCAATCTACACTTATAATCAGTGAAGAGCATACATCATGGTATAACATCTTCTATGTGTCTGTAAGCTAATCAATAACTAAAGAAAAATATAAGAAGTCAAGGCTAACCCTTGTCATAACGTCCTGCATATCTTTTTTTTTTTTTGATTAACCTGGATATCCAACCCGCTATGTGTGCCGACTAATCCCAGGGCGACCACCTGCTTTGTAGATAGCCCGGAGTCACCGCATTTGAACCTCCGTGGCCACAAGGGGATTTTTATTCCTCCTTGGATTTGAACCTGGGACCTCCTGGTACTTTTGACCTTTGGAGCCAAGCTCAAACCAATCAGGCACCATCCTTGTGGTTGTCCTGCATATCTTTAATCACATATTGCAGGGATTTTATTCTTCTCAAGCCTATATTGGCATCGTACCGTATGTCTTCAATCAATAAGCACCATATTGGAGGTCAAATGGCATAACTCCTTGGAAAAAGAAAAATGAAGTATTAACCTACTCTGTGTTCTGAAAAATATACCACATGTCTGTATATGCTGTGTAATTCCTTAGACTTCCCTGCCATATTTGCATTAGTAAACTCCCCAATCTACTGGTTTTTGACAGACAGACAGACAATCACTGGGATCAAAACTTATGTATGGGTATACTGTCTTCTTGATAATATGGCAAGTGTCTTCAACCAAGTTCCAGAATTATTGACTTTTTCTACCTCTGAAAGTGGCTAAGGGCATCTGATTAGTGTATGCATCTATGTATATGTTCAACACAAAAGATAGGGAGAGAGAGGGAAGAGTTCTGCATTTATTGGTTTTGTTTGGGTTCCTTAGTAATCACTTAGATGAATATACAAATCTGTGGTCAGTATTATAGTTTTTTCTTTGGTAGGTTTTCATGCAATCAAATTCTCCTCTCTGTATTTATGGTGCCTTTCCTATTACTCTTTTCCAAAATGGCAAATTATTTACACATGTTAAAATATCTGAAATGCCTGATGAATGGGAATTGTAGTGTTATATCTCTCTCAATTCTGTTTTGTTATCCCTTCCATCTCTTGGAGTTCTTTTAAGGATGCTTATATATTGACCTTTGTTATTCTTTTTTATTGTTAATGCATTGCACTTGGTTCCTTGCAGTGTGTTAATTTTTTTCATAAATATCTTAGGTTGTGAAGGTGGCAGATTTTGGGGTTGCTCGATTTCTGAATCAAGGGGGAGTTATGACAGCAGAGACTGGAACTTATAGATGGATGGCTCCTGAGGTTTGTCTTTCTTGCTCTTGTCAATTTCCTTTACATGTATGAGCTCTATAAGTAGGATCCAACCTTCACCTCAAAAGAACTTTAAAGAATAAGCAAAAGAAATGGCAAACATGTTAAGCACTTTCAAATACAATGTTCTTTGGAAGCATAATGTTTATTTTAAACCAAGAATGAAGTACGGTTATTATCAAAGTCAATCATGTTTTGATTGCCATATGAGCGAGTTGAGTCTTTAACGTGGGTTAAAAGCTGCTGAAGGAAGTCCAACTTTGCTAGTTACAATATTTGTTTGGGATATTTTGGCGTTGATAAGCTAGTATCAGGTATGATGGTTAGACAATCAGCCACTTGTTTTCTTTATTCCCTGTGCTCCGTGTCAGCATCCTACTATGTGTTTGATTGTTTGAGATGTTCTTAGAGCATTGCCTTTGGCATGACAAATTTTTTTTTTTTCCTTTTCTACTATTCAGCTAATTCCACTTGGTTTTTATGAGGAAAAGTCGTTGATTCACATTAGTCACACTTGTTGTCGATTTTCTTTAACTATGTTATTGAAGTAACATTGATAAACCCTAACTTTCTGTTATTTCATCATCATTTTTGTGAAGTTGTGGACCCATTAGATTTATCAGGAAGATTGGAGGTGCTTATAACTACATTCCATTCCATAGTCGCTCTTATATATTATCCTGGTTTGTAGGTGATAAATCATCAACCATATGATCAAAAGGCCGATGTATTCAGTTTCGCAATTGTTTTATGGGAACTACTGACAGCCAAGGTAATACACAATTTTGATATCTATTTGCTGGCCAAGAATTATTCTTGTACATATAGAATTAACTAATATATGAGGGTTGTAGGTACCTTATGAGAAAATGACGCCGTTGCAAGCAGCCTTGGGAGTAAGACAGGTCAACACTTTTTCCATGTCTATTTCAGGAAGTGAATTATTTCACAAACATTCGGTTCCCATTATCCATCTTTGATCCTTAACAATAATGGCACTTAAGTCGTTTCCATCTAGGATAGCGTATTCGTGCCGGTTATCTAGCATTCATGCCTCACCTTTCAGATTGATCTATCATCTGCTTATCTATCTACTTGCCTTTCAACCTCAGACTGCCGCTCGGGGATGTAGTTGTAGATACGCTCGGAGGGAGGGTGGTATGGCCAACACCGGTGGTGTGCATTTTGGAACCATTACCGACAAGAATAGATTTTGTGCCATTATTAACATAAGACTTTAAGATACCTGCCGAGTGAGCCATGTGATGTGTTGCGCCGGTGTCCAAGTACCAATTCTGATCGGGATTCAATGTCAWAGTGTGGAGGGCTGGCTCAATGTTGGTAGGAGTATACGCTGCATAATTTGCTGATGGACTTGGTCCAAGAATACCCGGATTTTGACCTGGAGGGCGCAACGTGGGCATAGTCGGATATGGACACGGTGGAGCCGCCCATGGAGGATGAGAGTAGCCCCATGGCTGGTAAGGCCAGGGCTGCTGTGGAGGGTACCCGGGACCAGTAGAGTTATTGCCCGGGCCATAAAAATTGTTGCGTCCGCGACCCCTACCCCGACCGCGGTGACGTCCTCCCCGACCGCGTCCTCGGTACGAAGCAGCACCTCGCTGAGTGAACCTGTTGGAGACATCAGCAGGCTGCTCCGGGTCTGCAGCGGTGGGCTGAACCACAGCAGCGTGGACAGTAGCAGTAGGCTGTTGTTGTGCTTTGCGGGACTCTTCCATGAGTAAGGCGGTACGGGCAGCCGTAAAAGAGGGTAGAACGTCCTTCTGTTGAAGGGTAGTAGCGAGGTTATCAAATTCACTGGATAGCCCGGAAATCAATTGAAGAACCAAGGATTGATCTGTGATAGGAGCATCAACATTAGATAGCTGATCAGAAAGCAATTTCAATTCTCTACAATAAGCGGTAGCATCCGGAAACGCCGCTAGTTTCGTGTTAGAGAATTTTTGTTGAAGGTAGATGGCCCTAGTAGGTTTGTTATCAACGAAAATGCCTTGCAGAGCTTGCCACGCTTTATGAGCGGTATTATCGGGATGGAGAATAGTGGTCAACAGATCAGTTGTGATGGTACTGTAAATCCATTGTAAAACAATGGCATCGAGACAGAGCCATTCTTCATCATGTTCCGAAGGGGCTGCATTGGGCGGGATTATGTGATCGAGCACCTTACAAACGGTGCATTGAACTTTAAATAGGGCAACCCAATTGTTGTAATTTCCTTCTTCGGTACCTAGAACGAGGGGAATGTGATTTTTGATGTTGGTAATGGTGGTGGCAGGATGGATTCGATAGGTGGGAGGGGGCTTGCTGTCGCCTGTCATGGAGAGGGGCTGGAAGAATGGGAAATCCGGTGAAAGTGAGCGGAAGAGTGGTCGCCGATCAGAAGGGTGGTCGCCGGTCAGAAGAGTGGTCGCCGAAATTCAGAAGGATCAAAAATCAGAAGGCCGATCAGTAGAGGAAGGGGAGGCGATCAGCTCTGATACCATAATAGAGTTTAACTAAATGCCCGTCTTTCCCCCTCTCTTGTATTGCAATATATAAACATGGATGTTACAAAATAGTCCCTTGGACTATACAAAGAATACCAACTAACTACCTGGAACTATACAAAGAATACCTTCTAGTCTAATAGTTAGTCTTAGTAAGATCTGTTAGCTGCAACCGACAGACTGACTCGTATGGAATCCTTCGATCCGCGAAGTAGGCAAGCAGGAATCTCTCCCTTTTCATCAGTTGCAGGGTTTGGTGGCCCGAAATTGACTTGGCTTCGCCAAAAGGCTTTTACATTTTCCTGTTTTAAAACAATTGCTATGTTCTTAATTGACAAACCTTATGATTTCCATTTAATTCAACTTAATTGGTGATAGTTTCAGGGGTTCCTTTTGCATGGAATATGATAATGTTTAACAAGTCAACTACATTTTCTTTAGCATCGCTTATTATGCTTTCAACATTGGGTAATCTTGTTTTACGAATCAAATATGTTGTACTTCTGCCAACTCCAATATTCTTGGTCTGGCCTAGGATACCTCTTTGGCCATGTATAAATAGCGTCGCTTAGTTGGGAAATAGCTTATGGAAGCTTAGTCACATTGTGATTTTGATTTTGTAATCCTCTATTCAGTTATAAAAAGTTTTCCCATTTTGTCTGTGGACCTACACCATCCTTCTGGTGGTGAAACTGCATAAATCAGCAAAAAAAAATTATCGTGCTTTCTTTATTTGTCTATTAGATATTGCTTGTAATCATTCTTGATCCAAGTTGTTGGTAAAGGTCACACCTTTATTGTTGCTGCTACTACTACTCAAGGATTGCAACTTTATTCGTTGGGACATGTGATCGAATTCCAGCACATGGGACAAATAAATTCCTTCTTTTTGAACCCTTGACCTTCTGTGCTGTATATTTATTTCTATTTACAAGTCATCAGAGTAACATAGAGCTACAGGCTACAAATAAAGCAGTGTTTAGTGGTATCAGTGCTTAATGATAACATTATACGACATACTGATGTGTTGCAGGGGCTTCGGCCAGAGGTTCCCACAAATACACACCCGAAGCTGTTGGAGTTGATGCAGAGATGTTGGGAGTCGGATCCTGCTAACCGCCTTCCCTTTCCTGAAATCAGAGTCCAACTTGAAGGCTTACTCCATGAAATTCAGGTAAAGTTTCACTGTTACTCCTGACAATTTAAATGTTCAAACTTGGTGCTTTTCAAATTCAAATTATTGTTTAATCTGTTTCAATTTGATACTGTTCTGGTTATCAATCTTTTCTGCACAAACAAGATAACTTTTGCCAATTTTGAATTTAAATCTTCAATGCTCAAAACTCAAATGTGGGTTTTTTCTGAGTGGAGATGGTTTTCTTTTAAAAGATATTTGTTTGACCCTTTGATTGATTATTGATAAAACTATACATCATGTTCTAAGCACTTTAGTTCCACCATTCCTAATTTATAGGCAAAAAAGAGTGATTTTGATCACTTCTTAGTTGGTAAACCCTGAGGTGTAACTTAACTCCTCTGATTTATCTCCGGTTCAAGCCCCTCAAGAGTTCGTCTGTTTGTTAACTTCAACGAGCACCCGCACCCATGGTTATCTAAAAAAAAAATGACATTTTGTCAATACTTAATGCCTTTACGATTGTTGGTCATTCTTTTATCCACCGGTCTTTCTTTATTGCAAAAAGCAACATTTTTGGATGCATTTGCTTTTGATGAATAGAATCGTCTTTACATTTATATTTTAACTTTTTATTACGTGGAAAAACGACACATCGAAAAATCAACTGTAGGTTGAAAATTGAAACTCATTTATCATATAAAATCAGTACAAGATAAAGAAGAATGGAACGTTTGTTGCACTAAATAAGAAAAATATGCATCGCTATCGGTTCTATTTTGATACATTTTGCATATAAAACTTCTTTTACACACAAATATTAGGACCAGTGAGCAAAAGCTTATTGAAATCTTTTACTCAATTAAGATAGTTAGATTTGAATGTTGGAATCTCCCTTTTCTCCTTGTTGGCTCACATATATTCGCAAACAAACAAATACTTGTTTCCTATATATTTTGTGTAATTACTGGTTGGTGTTTAACGACAGGATGAAGCCGAAACACCGAATGGCAACTAAGCTTGTTCGAACTGTGTATATATCATTTACAGCTATGAGATGGTAGAATTCCCACCTCCGTTCTACTACGCTTTCGTCTATGATTTTTTGCGTAGTATCAACCTATAGGAGATGGAAATTACGTGACCGAGAATTAGTGTACATATGTGTTTGACAAAAGGGGAAGAGAAGCAGCTCATATGAACTCAAAAAACGCCCACCACAATGTTCTCTCTCCGTCTAGTGACCGTTGATGAACTGCAGATTTTGTTAGTCGCTGTTTTCTGGTTCACTTTTTATTTGTAATTTTGGGTGTCTAGGCCTGCTTGCATACACCTCGATGAACCACGTGTGCCCAGAAGAAAACAGGCAAGAAAGTCCACAGTGGCCTTGAGGAGACTTGAACTAACGATCTATGAGCCCCAAAGCCTTGCTTTTATTCATCAGTTCAATTGACCCTCATGGTTCACGGGTATTATGTTTCCAAGTTCAACTGAAGCATTGTTTTTTTATAGTATTGGACCGAAGTATCATCCCTGTATTTCACTATTATCGTCATATTGTTCTATAGTTTGTGAAACGAAGAAAAGGGACGGGACAAATATTTGATGTGAACCCGATTATTGTGATGGTTGGAGTCTCACATTGGCTGGATTTGGACCTTTTCTTTTTGTTAACGTGGTAGTTGGGCCAACTTGTGTGCTCTTGATTAATCGTAGGGGCTCAGGAAGAAGTAGAGTGCTCAAAATACCGACCAACTTGACCAACCTGGCCAACCCAACCTGAAAAAAATCCAAAAACACTCAACCTGAATTAACCCGCATATAGTTGATACGAAATTAGGTCAACATGCATCTATTGGGTTAAAATGGTTAGGATTTTCTGAACCCAAGCTGATGAACCTGTTGCACTTCTATACTATAGATTTAATATGATTTTTAAGTCCTTGATTAACATATTTACATTAGACCAGTCTATAATTAGTTATATTCAAAATTATATTACAATATTAATCATAATTTTACTTTCTTATTTACATGAACCTTCAACTTTCTTTTTTGTGTTTGTTAGTCTTTTTTGTATGTTATCATTTTGATTTTACTTCGTTTAAACAAAAACATTTAGTCAAATTGTAAAATGATATAGCAAAGCTTCAAACCGATCAACCTGCACGATTTAGGTTTGGTTGGGTTGTAGGGTTTTTTTTTTTTTTTTTGCTAGGTTGAATTGAGACAAACTGCAAACATTGGATTAGGTTGTTCAAGTGCGTTCAATCTAATCCATGTATAACCATAGGAAGAACAATCAAGAAAATCTCCAATGGTTTTAGAGGGATAACCTAAAGACTAAAACTTATTGACAGTTGAGTCAACTGGTTATTTTTTCTTAACTCATTTTGAAGAGTAAATTACACCAAAATGGAACCAACTTTCACATGATTCTTATTTTGGGAAACCAACTTTCAAAATTGTTATTTAGGGGTCTCTATCAAACTTTTTGTTTATTTAAGAGTCTAGTTGACATGTTGACCTGTTAATGCTGACATCATTCAGATCTTTTGTCAACTAAGATATTCTACGTCATATTAATTTTTTATTTTAAAACTAATATTCCACGTCATATTAATTTTTTTTAAACTAATATTCCACGTCATATTTAAAATTGCAAAACAATTATAGAAAAATAACTAAAATTCGTTTTTTTGTTTTTCAAAAATTATTGTAATAAAATCTATTTTTCATTCCAAATCTTGTTTTTTTTTTATAAAAAAAAATCAGATATCAAATTGTGAGTAAAGAAGTCCATTTTTGAAAAAATCTTCAATTTGATATCTGAATTTAAAAAAAAAATGAGATTTGGAATGAAAAATAGATTTTATTACAATAATTTAAAAAAAAAAAAAAGAATTTTAGTTATTTTTCTATAATTATTTTGCAATTTTAAATATAACATGGAATATTAGTTTTAAAATGAAAAATTAATATGACATGGAATATCTTAGTTGGCAAAAGATTTGGATGATGTCAGCATTAACAGGTCAACCAGACCCTTAAATAAACAAAAAGTTTGATAGAGACCCTTAAATGACAATTTTGAAAATTGGTTCCCCAAAATAGGAATCATGAGAAAAGTTGGTTCCATTTTGGTGCAATTTTTTCTATTTTGAAACCTTATTTTGCGAGAGTAGCTTATGAAGTGTTTTTTGTTACTTTTTTCAACTATAACATTTTTTAATATATCCAAACATATACTTAAAAAATAAGTTAGCTTACCTTTGTCAAACAATATCATAAGGGGCCGTTTACCAAACACTGACCCAGGAAGAGTTGTCACTCTCGTTTACCCGGTAAGACTCCTGGTTCTTATCTCACTTTTACCGGGTAAGTTCTTGGTCCTTACCATATTTATCAGGTAAGGTAATGTGACTTGGTAAGAGCTTACTTGAACAAGCGTTTGGTAAGCGGCCCCTTAATTCACAAAAAGTTATTCTTTTTCTAATTGAGATATGCTTGGAATAAGATGATTGTAATATGGAGAGTGTTTTTAATTATTCCAACAAAATGTTTGGGATAGAGAAATAATTTTATTCAATGTATTAATTTTTTTAATAATATAATTAATTTTCTAATATCTAAAAAAGAGAAATTGTTATGGGTATTTGGGATTACTTATTTGAAACAACTTATGTTTTTTTACAAAAGCACTTATCAACTTATTATAAGTCAGAAGGGTTTAACTTCTTCAAAAACTGCTTATTACCGGTTTGGCATCGGTATAAGTTGTTTATCCAAACATTCAAAAGTGCTTATTACCGGTGTCACACCGGAATAAGTCAATAAGTTGTTCTTATAAACAATCCCAAACACCCCCTTAGAGTTGAATATAATTTTTTAAAGATTATTAATTTTGATTCTTAATTTTAGAAAAAATCTAAAAGAATATGTCGATGATGTTGTCAGTAAACTGATGACTTAATTTCGTTAAGTCATGTATCACCATTTGTTTTTGACTTAATTGATACGAAAATATCTTATTCTAAGAAGCCCCATGTGTCATGTGTTCCACGTTATGCCCTCAAACTCAGTGACTTCCTTGGACAGAAATATCAAAAATCGTCCTCAAATCAAATCCTTTTTCTGGCACTTGTCGTCGTCGTTACTGTTGCTTCTTCATCACCCATCGTTGTTGTCCGTCAGACTTGGGGATTATTTACCAAATTCTGATCGGATAAGCATTTGCTAGGCGAGCATAACAGTGACCGAGTATCTTACCTTATAAGTGACGGTGATGACTCTTACATGGTTAGCGCTTATCAGATAAGAGATTTACCAACAATTTTATTGGATCATTTTGATGACAAAATCTTATCCAATAAAGTAAGTGAGGATGATACGTGTACGTGATTAGCATTATTTAATGACCTGTTAAGGTAAGATTTTCGACTATTGTCATATTCATCCGATAAAGTAATGTGACGTGGTAAGCAGTTACTCAGGTAAGCGTCTGACCCCTTACTTTTACCATACGCTTAACCGGGTAAGTGCTTACCACGTCACATTACCTTATCGGATGAATATGACAATGACCAAAAATTTTACCCGTTAAGAGCCGAATGCAAGGACGAGAGTCGTCACAGAGTCTAACCCAGTAAGTAAAGGCGACGACTCTTACTACGGTTAGCACTTACCAGGTAAATTGTTGCATATGATACCTTTTTGATAGACTAGAACCTTATCTGGTAAATAAGTAAGGGGTTGTTTGGATCATAGGAATTGAAAGGAATTGGAATGTCCAATCTTTTGACCAAATTCCAAATGGAGTGTTTGGTTCAATGGAATAAGATCATGGAATCCTTTCAATTCCGGTCAATTCCTTCACGCACAGATTTCACCATTCCACGGCAACATGCTAGGATTTCAATTCCTTTCCTACAGATTCATCCTCTAATCCAAATTCATTGAATGCCTCTACCATCTCATCTACTGCATTTCTGGTTCGATCTCCAGGTACGCTCTCTCTCTCTCTCTCTCTCTCGTAAACAAAATTCGATAGCCAATCTGGTTCGATCTTCAATCGATCTCTGATTCGATCTTCAATCGCTCTCTGGTTCGATCCCAAATTGAATGGAATTAGGGCACCGATCACTTCTTTAAACAAAATTTAGTGAACAATTTCAGATATTATTAATATAAGTGAACAATTTCAAATTTTATCTGATGTTAATAATGTAATTTGGTTTAATGGTAATTTTAATTTTTTTTAGAAATGACAAAAAAAAATCATAAAAGGTCATTTGTTGATATTTAATTCCGATCCTAAAGTTGAATTCCGTGAACCAAACAAAAAAAATTCAATTCCGTTAAGAATTTCATTCCAATTCCATGCAACCAAACACAATCACAGGACAATGTCAAATTCCATCATATTCCATTCCATTCCCTCAAAGTCAAATTCCTTTGATGAATTCCAATTCCATCGAATTTCATTCTACGAACCAAACACCCCCTTAAAGGTCTTAAACTTTACCAGTAAACATTTATTAGTATTGATTGTTATGTAATATGTTTTAATACGTAACATCACAAACCTATCAATTTGTACCTTTTTTAGCCACATGAAATCTTGTGAACTTCATTTAACTCTCCATTAATTATATCCGTACGATGTTTGGTATTCATTAATGTCATTATTAAAGAAGCTAACTATATTTTTAAGAACTAACCTTCTTTTTTATAATTACCCCATGATTGCATCGTTGGTATTTTATGTATTTCGTTTTTATACTGTATAAAACATGTACAGTATTAATCTGACTTTATTTTGACATCAAAAAATGATCTGGGGTTGTTATTATTTAGCTAATTTTTTATAATGTACAAGAAATCAGGAGATCTGGGTTTGTAATCTTAACGCATAATCATTTTAATCGTCCAAATATCAACAAGTTAAATACTTTATAGCAGTGTTTCTAACTAATTGAAATTAACAGTTTGCTCCTAAATTTTTTTACTATGATTTGTTGATTCATATATGAATTGGAAATAATTCTCTAAAAAAGTGTTTTTTTTAAATGTTATGTTAGTTCGTTTAATTCTCTTAAAAGAGACTTATTAAATGCTTATTGTATTTTGATTTTAACTTATTTTTTGTATTTATGTCTGTTATATATACTTTAACTTAATTTACAAAACACGAATTGTCGAAATGAATCGGGTTAGTTTGATTTGTGGCAACTTTTTGTCAGTTTATGAATAAAATGACTGAATACGTTGTAAATATTTTAACTACCAAATGTCGAAAAAGTTAAATGAAAGACATGTATATGCATGTATTTATGTACATGATGTATTAGTACGTGTGTGTTTTTGGAAAGGGTGTACACTTACGTTCTCAAGCAAAAAAAACCCTTGATTAACAACGTGCTGAAACGGTTATGTATGCAGTGTTTATCAAAAGGAGGATGTGTTAATTTGATCTTCACTGTAACTGGTCGTGCTTGTGTGGTGGCTCAAGTGTTGTATGGGTGAAACTACGTTTATAATGCCTCAAAAAACATGGAATGTGTTTCAAAAAATCATACAACTTCACTTATATAACGTTTATAACATGGTAAGAAAATAATACTACTAGTCACAAATAAAGATACAT